GAGAAAAGGCACCAAATACACTAAGATTCCAACTTACAACCAGAATTGCTTTTAGTTAAAATTTTAAAAAGCTGATGAGAGTGCAGAGGGAAAGGAATCTTTTAGAGATTGTTGGTATAGATGTAAATTAGTAAACATGTAAATTAGTCAACATGAAAAACAGTAGAGAAGTTCCTAAAACAAAACGAAACAAAAAAAACTAAATACAGTTATCATGTGGTCAATTGTATCACTCCTGGGTATTTATCTAAAGGAGGAGTTAGCATCAAAAGATACCTGCACATCCATGTTTACTGCACAGCATTATTCACATAGCCAAGTCATGGAATCAGCCTACATGTCTTCAACCAATGAGGGCATAAAGGAAATGTGGGCTATATATACAGTGGAGCCTTATTCAGCCATAAGGAAGAATGTAATCATGAAACAGTGTAACAAGGGATCCCAAAAACAAAGTATCATAAAGAATTATTTGCCCCAGGAACCCCCTGGCAAGCAGGCCATTCACATTATCAGGTTCCTCAGCACCCTTACCTCTTCAGATCTGCCTCTCTCCTCAGCCCACAAACTGCTCCAGCTCTGTCTTTCTTCCACCTCCCCACCCTGTACTCAATCACCCTAACAGTGTGGCCCAAGGCGGCATTTAGTTGAGTCCTGGCCCTGCCAGCTACACGGCATGGTTCAGAGCTGTTGCTCACCAAAATTTTTAAGAAGAAAAGATCCAGTGATTGAAGGGTATTGCTAATATATGTATGTTTTATAATTTCTGGGATACTATCATCTAAGGATTATGTTTTTAAAACCTAAATAAGTTATAAAAATTGTATGGAGTTACAAATGTCTCATAAAGACAAGTTTGGTATGACTAAAGATTATCTTTAAGGTTTTCCAGTTCTGTATAATCAAAGCAACTGGCTTTTGTCATCTACTTACCTGCTTTTAGTGAAGTTGATAAAAGAGCTAAAATTAAATGACCTGAGCGCAGTCTTCTATGTTGCCTTTCAGTTTTATCAGGCTTTTAACAGAATCATGACTCTTCTTTGGCTTTGTTGTTGTTTTGTTTTGTTTTTTATTTTTTCCTGATATTTTCAGACACAACAGTACCTTATGTAGCCCAGGCTGGCCTTAAACTACAATATAGCTGAGGATGACTTTGAACTCCTGACTCTGCCTCTCAAGGGCTCAAATTATAGTTAAGGGCTAGAACCTGAGAAGGCTCACTTAAAATTTTCCTTGGGCTGAAATTTATTTTATCTTTGAGATTATAATAGAATTGCACCATTTCTCCCTCCAAACCCTTCCATATACCTCCCACCTTGCTCTCTTTCAAATCCACAGCCTCTTTTTTTCACTAATCATTGTTACTTTGGGCCGAAGTCTTTTTATGGTCACTTTACATCTCCATTTAAATAGGGCTGTCATATACATGAGATGGATTTGTGTACCAGGTAATAAGTCTATTTATGGTCAGCGATGTATCCTTTTTATGATTATTAAAGATCTAAAATCTTTGAAAATTTTCCACTTTGTCTCAAAAGTAACAATTCTCTATATAACTATAATGCTTCTTTCTGTCTTTGTATGTCCATGGTCCTCCAGAATATATCTGACAACAGGATCAGCTCTAGCGTGCTGTCCAGTTGGGGTGCAGGACCCCCTCTCCTGTGTCCTGCAGCTGTTGAGGGGCAAGGCTAGCCCTCACACTCTCATGACACCAGGGCCAGCTCTCTCACTCGCAGCAGGTAGCATGGGGCCTAGGGGGGAGGACATCTTTCTCTCACCCATGCCACCACATGGTAGATGAAGAGGGCAGGGTCAGCTCTCCTGCTCTCATGCCCTCAGGGTCGGCTCACCTGCATGCTGGACCACAGGGTCAGCTTTAGTGTGTCAGCTTTAGTGTGCTGCCCAGGTGAAGTGCAAGCCTGGGGGGGAGGGTAGCTATCCTTCTGCAATATCCAGCGAGGGGCAGGGCTAGCTATCTCAGGGCCAGTGAAGGGCTGGACTGGCTCAGCACAGCATAGTTCCCAATGACCACCTGTGCTAACACAGGCCTGTTGCTAGAGTTTTTCTGCCTGGATAGGTATAAAATATTATGGTAGATTATTATATATACTAGTAAACAAATTTAGTAAAATAATAGCCTTAAATAATTTGCACTGTAATTTGCACTGTTATGGGTTCTTATATGTTGATACAAATGTAAACTATTTTTTTATTCCTGTTTAAGATAATTTGTATATTGATACAAATATGGAACTATATTTGTTATAATGTACATATATTTCTACTCTTATTTGAAATACTTGTATATTGATACAAATGTAAATTTATATCTGTCATACTTTATGTAGGTTCTACTTCTGTTTAGGATATTCGGTATATTGATATATATTTAAGATTATTGTCATATTGCATATCGCACTATATACTCCTACCTCTGTTATAACATCTTGTGTATTGTCACAATTTTGAAGTCATTGTTCTTTACCATACACTTGCTTATAGACTGTTTGTTTACATGAAGCCTTAGTCCTTAGGTTATTTCGGTAGATAAGACTTATAGATTTATAGTCACCTATGCTTGTCATCTCTATAGTTACGTTAGTTAGGTTATCCAGATTTATAGATACATAGGTCAGATGCACAGGTAATCTTCAAACACTTCATAGACCTAGAGAATATGGCATTTAAATAACTTAGAATTCTGTTGATGTGAGACATAATTGCTCCTGGCTGCACCAATTTGATCCCAAGAGAATGTTGGGCTTCTAAGACATTTCCATTTGGAAGTTTGTCTTCTTGGCACAAAATGGCCTACTGGGCAAAGAACTGCCCTTGCCTCGACGGCTGACAGTACTAATGCAATGCTATCTTTTCTGGACAAGCGGGACACAAGGAAAGCAACCACTGTACTCTGCCAAGACAGGGTAAGATGGTCTTTCAGAATTCCTGCTTCTGAAAATGGTCTGTCAGATACTTTAGGCCTGTAGCCAATTTGAATGCACCAACAATGCTGAGAAACATTAGGTGACTGTCCAGGCTGCCAGCTGTCTCCGTCTACTCTCGCAAGATTCCCGAAAGTTGCTTGCATCCATCTACCATTTCTCAGGTACCATTATATTCCTTCTCAGGTCTTTGATGGGATTGAAGACTAGCAGTTATAGTTACAACTTAGTAGATAGAACATATTAAGTATTAGATTCAGGTTCTTTAGGATAGGACACCTTTTGGAATGATCTTTGTAACATGCCATTTACCTATGCTCTATACTTCTCTGGACTTTAGTATGTGTTTCTTGCTTGATATTGTTTGCATTGGTTGTACTTCCATCTTATCTAGGTCATTATCCCTCATTATTCCTGGACAATATTTGATAACCATTCCTTTGTATATAGTCTTGTATTAGGTTAGAACTTTCTTATTTAGACAAAAAGGGGGAGATGTAGTGGGTAGCCATTCCAGCTTTGATCTGGAAGTTCCAACCCCCATTGAGACTTCGGCAACTGTCACGCCTACAAGGCGGGGCCAAGGAAGGCGCCGGGGGACCCGAGAGCTGGATCGGCGGGCGCTCTCTCTGTTGCGGGACCCTGGACTGGAGAGGTGGACCGAGCAGAGCTCCAGAGAACACCGCTGGACTGTGATACACCTTCCCCAGACTCCGCGACCTACCTATTCCTTAATTTGTAAGTTACGCCATTAAATAAATCTCCTTTTAACTACGTGGAGTGGCCTTAATAATTTCACCAATACAGGCCATGGGCATCATCACAGACCCCAGCTGCAGCAGGACCACAGACCCAGACATGACCCTCACTCAGCAGCAGCTCAGGCTGGGACATCACTATGGCCCTGGTGGCAGCACAGGTCACCCAGATCAGTATGGCCCCAGTGGCAGCATGACCTTTGGGCACCAACGTAGTCTCAGGTGGCTGTCCAGACCCTGGGCATCTGCAGAGCCCTTGGTGGTAACAGGGGCCATGGACATCACCCCAGACCCCTGCTGCTGCAGGGCCACAGACCCAGACACGGCCCTTGGCAGCAGCCCTGGCCCAGATGACATCATGGCCCTACGACACCTTCATGGCCACAGGTTGTGGCCCAGATCCTGGGTGTCTGTGTGGCCCTCCAGTGGCATCACAGGCCAGAGACATCAACTCAGACCCTGGCTGTGGTAGGACCACAGACCTAGACAGTTTTCAGCAGCAGCCCAGCCCAGAATGTCACCATGGCCCCAGGTGGCAGCGCAGACCACCCAAGTTGGCATGGCCCTCATCCACAGTTTTAATCCTCTCATTTATGATCAAACTCATAAAAAATTACTCTCATGGGTATTTATTTTTCAAACAAGTGTTTTCTTTAACTATTTGCTACTATTGGTAGTATTTTTTTATTTTTCTTGTAAAGTCTTACATTATGTAGATGATGTTTGTAATATCCTCTTACAAAAAGGAGGGAAAAGCACCTCTTTTAATTACAAAGTTGGTGTTTAACAGGTGCTGCTAGAGGCTAGACTTAAAGCTGATCTTCAAAGAGAAAAAGAGCTTCCCATTTGTAAGTGTCAAAAACGAAGCATAAATGGATGGCGGGGGCAGGAGTAAGGGGGACTCCACCATTGCCAAAGAAGAGGGATTATCTCCACCCAAAATTCAACAGTCTTAAAATATAAAGAATAAACTCCAGGTAAAGTCAACCTAGAGTCCTTCCTTCTAGACCACCCAGCTGCTGAAATTTAGCCAAAGGACTGTGGCCTTTGACACCACCCTGTGATCATTGCCACATCCCTCCATCCCTGCCCCCACCACTCTCCAACACAGGATCAGACCAAGCAGGAGAAAGCCCAGTGATGAGGGTCAGTCAAAATTTAACCAAAGATAATTAAGCAGCAACAGCCCTGGGGTTGGGGGAGCTGTTTATACACAAGAAAGAAAATGGTTATCCCCAAAGTAGAGTGATGATGGGGACATTGGTGCACACCTGTGATGCTGGGCACATTGGTACATACCTGTGATGCTGGGCACATTGGTGCACACCTGTGATGCCAGCACCTAGGAAGCTGATGCAGGAAAGTCATGAGTTAAAAACCAGCCTGGGCTACATGGTGAGACCTGACCCCCAAACTAACAGCAAAATGAAGTAACATGTTCCACTCCTTCCAAAAATAACTAAAGCTAAAAGGTTCTGAATCTGTTCTACTGGGTGGTAAGCATACTTGTTCTTCACTCTGCAAAAGGACCATCTTGTCAAGGCTGCTCACGATACAAATTTCCCCATGAAGACAGTTTGGAGCTACGTCAATCAACACTTCTGCATTAAAGATCTGCAAGAATGAAAAACCCCAAGGAATCAGCTCCTAAAAGGATGCTACCAACCACTTAAGATGCTTAGTATTTGTTGCTAGTAATGTTGCATAACACTCTGTCTGTTATCTTGTTGCCACAACAAAATACAGAAACAGCTCAAGAAAGAGGACTTTGCTCCAAGTTTGTGGTTACAATCCATCATGGCAGAGAAACTGAGGTAGCAGGGCCTTGGGACAGCTGGTCACATCACATTCTAGTCCAGAGGGAGTCAAGATGAATGTTTGTGCTCCCCATCTTCCTCTTTTTTATGCACTCTGGGACCCAAGCCCATCATATTATACAACCCACATTTAATGTAGGTCTTCGCACTTCAATGAGCTCAATCTAGAAAATTCCTCACAGACGTGCCTAGAGATTTTTCTCCAACCTGATCCTGTTGACAATATAAACCACCGCAGATATACTTAACTAATGTTTTATAAGAATTACTAGTTGCTCTTAAACCCACTACTAATATTCTTGGACTTACTTTATTATTTCTTTGATATCAACCTAGAAATGGAATAACTATATCAAATCACATTTTTTTCAAATTTTTGACTTTGTCTTTTTTTTCTCATTTTTGTCTTTTTTTTTTCAGCCAACAACCCAAGAAACAACTATCCAGCCTTACTTCTTAAAGAACTTTTTGTATGTACTACACCTCGCCCTAAGTTCCTGCTTGCAGGGGGGATTTCTCAAGCTCCACTGTATGAAGGTTTGATCTCAGACCTTTCACCAATGCTGCATATTATCAGTCTGTTGGATCTCCTCCACTCTAACAGTGAAGTGACATTTGGGTTTGTTTTCAACTCCGTTCATTGACTATTGGATGCTTTATGTATTTATTGAGCACGACGTCTCTCCTTTTATATTTAAACATTCACACCTCAAATTTGTTATTTCTAAAGGAACACTCATATCTACTTATTTTCATTTCTGTTGTTATAATAAGATGCTCTGACAAAAAGCAACTTTTGGAAAAGTGATTCTTGGGTTTACAATGTCCATCCATACAGGAACAGGAAGGCTGCTTGTCACCTCATGTCTACGATCAGGAGCAGAGAACACTGAAATGTTTACGAGCTCATTTGCCTGCTTGCTTGGGCTCGGCTTGATTCCTCCACTCTTGTATGGTTCTGAACCCCCTACCCAGGGAATGGTACTGCCCATAGCAGGCTAGGTCTTCATACATCAACGAGCTTGAGACAACCCTACCCATCGCCCAGACACACACACAGGCCACCCAATAGAGATAACCCCTCACTGAGAGTCTCTTTCAAGGCTGTGTCAAGTTGACAAGTAAAGCTGACCAGCACGCTACCTTACTGTTGGGTAAATATTCATGATGCATACATAAATTCAGTTAACTTGTTGTCTGTTACGAGCTGGCTCTCCACAAGTATATTCAATATAATTTTTATGCAGTAAAAGACCTAATTCAATGTCCACCTATACATCATTACCCTATTCTTAAGGATTTGAGACTCCTTAGGTCTCAAATTAGGGAGAATGTGAGACTGATATAATCCTTCGGCTGTGCCACAGCTGTATATCCCTGTATTTCATCATCTGGGCATCTCTACCTTACTGTGTGACCAAAAGCCCGTGCCAAACAGCTTAAAACGTATTCGTCTGCAAATTTTCACGTAAGTCATTCTTTTTGCCTCTCAAATTTTATGTGATTAAGTTTGAAACTGATTATGAAAAGCAGTATGAAACATTGAAGAATGGGACCTCCAAGCTCTAATAGAAGAGTTTGATTCTAGCCCATTACAATAAAATGCTTCTCTCAAAGCTACAATGAAAGTTATCATCCACCAACATCCTAATCTCCCAGGCCAAGTTAATACAAAAACTGTTAAATTTGCATGTATAAATATGTGGGTTTTGTTGTAAACATTATAAAACAAAGTTATATAATGTGATAATCTTCTTAGAGGTCTTTCTAACAGGAGACTAATTGCCTCAGAACATCTTTCTCCATCAAAAAACAAATCATCTATTTTAAATCAAAGCCAGAAATTAGAGGAATGTAATTGGGGAAATGGAATCAAACTCTCAATTTCAAAACATGTGATCGAAACATAAAAATAAAGTCTTCCCACTCTGGAGCCAAGTACTAATACCCTTAAGGCATTCTTTTTTAAAAGCTTCCACACAGTTGTATTCAAATAATTCACAAGAGTAAAGTTTGACAAGGGCTTTTCTGAGGAATAAAAGGCTGTACTTCAGCTCTGAACTCAGTGGTGAATGTCAAATCTTCAAATTCTCAAGGAAACTTTTTTTTTTTACCCTTTTCAGGTAGCTGGCATGTTTTAGATAGTAGATATTTAAATAAAACCTTTCTGAACAATTTCAAGGTCAGAAACAAAAACGAACCTAAGAGATTAGGCTCATCTAGGACTTGGATTGTTTTGAGAAAACCAAGCCTGAACCAAAATCTCTGAAGTGCAATGAACCAGCAACTTCTGGATGCCCTGACGAAGAACACCTGGGAAGGACAGCAAGGAAAAGTTCAGGGACCCAAGACTGTGGCTGAAGAACCCACTTGTCCTGGTGGCACCAGAGACCAAGAGTCCCTTTTCAATTATACATTGTCGATATTCTCCAGGTCATAGAAAAGGGACACAGGTAGGGAGGAGTCTCATTAGTTTTCTTTTTAACGCTGGGTATGTACCTGAGTTCTAGAAAGGCAGAAAAAGAGAGGTAGTGGGGAGAGGACATTAAATCCAAATTTCCCCTTCAATTTCTCTTTCTCGTGTCAATACTGAGAACATTTAAAAAAAAAAAAAGGAGCAGGAGCTTAGACTAAAGAGATTCAAGGGAGTGTTAAATAGCAGGCTCATGGAGATTAAGAATCAGAATATTTGGACCTCCCCCTCCCCTTTGCATTGCCCTTTCCAAAGTCATTGGTGTGCCGGCAATGCCAAATGACCATGTGCTTTGCAAAATACACATACTTAAAATAGTTTACCTGCAACTAGTCGATTCGGACCCCTTATTGCTTCCACTCCAGCAGGTTCACCATGCTGGATGTTAGAATGTAAACAAACAGGAGTCATAATCAACTGACGGTGGTAGGGTGATGTTGGAGCAGCTGTAGTTATTTTGGGATCCAGCTAAAAGAGGAAGTAAAATTAAAAATACATTTAGTTTAACTTAATTGAATTGAGCTATGTGGTTCATAGTCAATTCTGTATGTAGTTAAGTTATTGCAGGCTGCTCCAGCATAAGAAAACACTCGAGGAAGAATATTCTCACTGCTGCTAGGCAACCCCCACAGCATTGAAACCCAAAGATACAAGGCCAAAGATGTACCCCTGTATAAAACTGAAAGTCAGCTAGAAAGAAATGCATCTAATCATGAGACTCATAAAATTATAAATAATGGTCTCATTGACATCTGGCTAAAGGCAATTTTGCTTGTATCAAGAATGTACTTGACCATGCAGCTACATAAAATATAGTAATTATCTTTTGCACTATTCACTTGGTAAGTGTGCAACAAAGAATCTATAGCATCCTGTGTTTGCAGGATTCCAGCCTGTAGAAATATATTAAATAGCAAGTATGCACATAACAGCTCATACACAAAATTTAAAAGTTTTTCCCATTTGGGCAATTAGCCTCAAAACATACATTACCAAAGAGGTGGGAAACTGAAAATAAACTTAGACCGGCTCCCAGGCTGGACACTGCTCTCTTTCCATGATCTCCTTCACACAGTGAAAATAGAAGGAGAAAGTTCTTTAGGGGAGCCCTTCTACAAGGGCACTAATCTCCATCCTCATGGTTTAAACTCCCCCAAAGACCCTGTCTTTTAATACCACCAGCTGTGGATTTAGGAGTCCAGACACAAGGACTTCCTTGGGCAGATGAAACAGTTAACTATTACAAGTGTGAAAAGTGTTGAGAAGACCAGCAGAGGACCAGGGAGATGGCTCCGTGGGTATAAGTGCTTCCTGTGCAAGCCTGATAACCTGAGTTCAAGCCCCTGACCCTGATGGAAAGAGGGAACCAGCTCCTGAAAGTTGTCCTCTGATGTATACATTCGCATGTTCACAGCTGCATGCAAATGCACACACACACACACACACACACACACACACACACACACACACACACACACACACTTTTTTTGAAAAATTAACTTCTTTATTGATCCTTTGAGAGGATCATGCACCTCCCCAATTCTTCTTGTCCCCCATATCCTCCCCTCACCCCTGCAGTGTGTCCCCCACAAAAGAAAGCTAAAAAAAAAAGGCAAGCAAGCAAATAAACAAACAAAAACAAGAACAAAATAAACCAAAAGAAAAAAACCTCTTTGCTTCTCCTTCTTTCCTGCCTCTCCAACACATTCATCCTGGGGGCATTGGGAGCCTTGTCAAGTCACATAGTATACCCTTTTGTCTAATCAGCTTTACTAGCAAATGTTCATTGCGATAAATCACTGGTCTGGTGTAGCTAGAGTTTTCCTGCCTGGCCCACAGTCAGGACAAATCTCTGTCACCCACCAGTCCTACAGCCGCTCAAACCCAACCAAGTAAACACAGAGACTTATATTGCTTACAAACTGTATGGCCGTGCCAGGCTTCTTGTTATCTAGTTCTTATATCTTAAATTAACCCATTTCTGTAAATCTATACCTTGCCACGTGGCTCGTGGCTTACCGGCATCTTCACATGCTGCTTGTCATGGCGGCAGTTGGCAGTCTCTCCCTCCTTCTTCCTGTTCTCTCAATTTTCCTCTCTGTTAGTCCCACCTATACTTCCTGCCTGGCCACTGGCCAATCAGTGTTTTATTTATTGACCAATCAGAGCACATACAGACCATCCCACAGCAGTCTGGTTCAAGGCCTCTGGTTCCTGGTACACCATCATCACTGGATCCCCACTGGAACTCCTCTGGGACATCCCATGGCCGCCTGGAGTCATAGAGATTCTGCAGGTATTGTTCTATAGGACCAGTGAGTGCCTTTATGAGGTCCAGTAGGTCCAGCTGTGGGCCTGGGTGATAGCTGAGCTGGTCAGTCCAGGCCACTGCGGTCACCCACCTCAGGTGAGGGGGCAGAGTCAGCCCCCCCATGCCCATGCCCTCAGGGTCAGTTCACCCTGGCCTTTGGTGAGGGGTGGGGCCATCTCTCCTGAGTGCAGGGGCCAGCTTTCCCATAAGGGTCAGAGCCAGCTCTCTTGCTGCAGTGTCCAGCAAGAGGCAGAGCCAGCTTTCCCTGGGCCAGCAAAGGGCAGGGCTGGCTCAGCATGGCTCTCTGATTTCATCCCCCCTGGTTCCTATGGCTCCCTGAGGTGACTCAGGCCACAGACATCAACATAGACCCCCAGCTACAGCTGGACCGTAGACCAAGACATGGCCTTTGGCAGTAGCTTGGGACCGGACAACATCCTGGCTCTGGGTGGAAGCCACTCTGGTCAGACTGTTTCTGGCGGCAGCATGGCCCCAGGACACCACCAAGGCCTCAGACTGCAGCCCCAACCCTGGGCTTCTGTGTGATCTTTGGTAGCAATGCGGGACTCAGACTTCAGCACAAACCTCAGCCACAGTAGGACCACAGACCCATGAATGTCACCACTGCCCAAGGTGGCAATACACACACTTTTTTAAAGAGGAAGATGAACAGAAAGTGATGTAACTACACCTAACAGGAATCTGACAAGACCTAGAAAATCATGGAATACTTTTCTGAGGAAGTGACCTAAAGTATAAACCCTAATGAATGAGGAGAAGTTAACTGGGCAAAGATGGTATTCATCAGACATCGCATCACTCCAGTAAAATGAGTGACAGCTTAGGGCCTGGGAAGATTTATTTGGGTTTGCTGTTCCAGAGGGCTCAGCCCACAGTCCTGGACTCTACTGGTTCCGGGCACATGATGAGGCAGAACACCACAGCAGGAAGATGGGGTAAGAACTATTCACTTTATGGCCAACAAGAAGCGGACAGCTTGATAGGAAGGGGCCTGGAACAGCCCACGCTCCAGCCCCTACTTCCTCCAGTTAAGCCCCATAAACGCCCAAAGTAGCACCACCCAACTGCCTGCCTAGCATTCAATACAAGAATCATTTGTGTGGACTGTTAATATCCCCAAGCCATAACAGATGGGGAAATTATGCAGATGGCTCTGGGATAGGACTTGGGTATCTCAGGAACAGGAAGCCAGCATGGCAGAGATGCAGAACTAGCGAGAGTGTGGATGAGATAAGCATTTTAAAAAATGTAACTGTGAACTGGTCATGGTAGCATATGCCTTTAATTCCAGCACTCAAGAGGGTTGAGGCAGGATTACTTGGGTTTGAGGCTAGCCTGGACTACATCCCCACAATGTCACTGTATCTTCAGTGCATTGAAGAGACCAGGAAACGTGACCTGAAATACAGACTCGTCAGAGCTGAAGGGCGCTTGGACTAAATAGCGGAACCAAACTAGTCAAGTAAAGCTTAATGACGTCAGCTTCCCCACATAAAATAGGTGTAAATTTTCCCCTCACAGAATTACACAGTTAGAGGTGGGCACAAACATCAAAAGCTTAAGTCCAAATGCCTGTATAACTATCAGTTAGGATGAGAACCGAGGACTAGTGGGCTTGACTCTGAGGAGGACCCAAGCTAGATCCCACAGCATCCTTTCCAGTCACTTTCTCACACTTTGTGTTCATGCACCAAGTCCTTCTCCACACATGATGTCACGTTGCCCTTTTAACGCTAATAAGCAGATAAGGCGTGAATAATGATTCTAACATTTTTTGAGACAAACCCAGATCATCCTCAAACTCACTCAGAATTTGCCTCTGCCTCCCGAGTACTGAAATTACAGGTGTATACCATCATGCTCAATGGATGATTCTGACTTTTACTTCAGAGTAAAGTGAGGCCAGGATTAATTTAAGTTTATTTTAATTAATTTAATAAGTTTCCACTCTCAATAGTGACAGAGTCTGAATTAGCACTTAGGGTTCTGGCTTACCAACAACCCTGTTCCATTAACACGGACTGTGCCTTGTATGATGTGTTGCTGTACTGCTATGGGAGAGGTCAATGACTAATTAAAAGATTTTAAAATGTGGCCAGCTTGGCACAATAACCCTAAGGGTGCGGTAATGGCATGCATACCTTGACAGTAACCAATAGCTATCTAATGGACTTAAGATTTTCTCAACAACAAGGAAATCATGCCTGGTACCAGAAACCTAGTCAACTATTGTGGCCTAGTGAAGTCATGGGTCTTTGAGGAGAACCTACAGCCACTTTACTAAACCAGGATAATTCCTAACTACATTCCAAAGATGTATCCCTTCCATGGTCTGTTGTTGGTTTCTTTTTACTCTTTTGTTCTTTTGGGGGACCTGCCACCAGCTCCCAAATAAATCACACATGGAGGCTTATTATTACTTATAAATGTCAGGCCTTAGTGTGGCTTATTTCTATCCAGCTTTCCTTAACTTAAATTACCCATCTACCTTTTGCCTCTGGGCTTTTTCCTTTTCTTACTTCTATAGATCTTACTTTCATTCTCACTCTGGGGCTGGCTGTGTGGCTGGGTGGCTGGCCCCTTCTTTTCTAACTCATTGATCTCTCTTGCTTCTCCCAGATTTCTCCTTCTATTTATGCTCTCTGCCTGCCAGCCCCGCCCATCCTTTCTCCTGCCTTGTGTGTCCAGCTCTTAATTAGACCATCAGGTGTTTTAGACAGGCACAGTAACAGAGCTTCACAGAGTTAAACAAATGCAACATAAAAGAATGCAACACATCTTTGCATCATTAAACAAATGTCCCACAGCATAAACAAAGGTAACACATCTTAAAATGATATTCTACAAAATGGTCCTACCACAGCCAGGGTCTGTGTTGCTGTTGATAGCTCCTGTTACCATAGAAGGCCACGTGGATGTCTGGGATCTGGGCTGCCACCTGGGACCATTTTGGTGTCTGAGGGCCATGCTGCCACTGGGATCATGCTCATCTGAGTGGCCTGTGTTGCCACCTGGGGCCATGCTGACATCTAGGCCCAGGCTGCTGCTAAGGACCATGTCTGGGTCCAAGGTCCTACTGCCGCTGGGGGCTGTTTTGATGTCTGTGGCCCATGTTGCTCCCAAAGGCCACACAGATTCCTGAGGTCTGGGCTACCACTTGTGGCCATGTTGGTGTCTGAGGGCCATGCTGATCTGAGGGGCTTATGCTGTCACCCAGGGCCATGGTGACATCTGGGCCCAAGCTGCTGCTGAGGGCCATGTCTGGTTACCACAGGGGCCCACAGGAACCATGTGTGTTGAAATCTGAGGGCCATGCTGAGCTGGCACTACCCTTTGCTCACCCTAGGAGATCTGGCCCTGCCACTCACTGGTCACTGCAGCAGAAGAGCTGGCCCTGCCTCTCACAGGAGAGATGGCTCCACCCCTCACCACTGGTGTGGGAGTACTGGCCCTGACGCCATGGGTATAAAAGAGCTGGCTCTGTCCCTTGTCTGGAGGGGTGGCAGTCCTAGTAGCCTAGACTGACCAAACCAGCTACCACTCAGACCCACATCCAGGGTTTTGAGTTGGACCACCCCATCTATGACCTGCTGGAGTGCATGAAGGGACTGGTCCTACAGAACCATAGCCACAGGATCTCCATGACTTGAGGCAACAGCAGGATATCCAAGAGCAGTTTTGGTAAGGGTGCAGTGATGATGATGTCCTGGAAGCCAGAGGCCTTGAATCAGACCAGTGACTCACTGCAATGAACATTTGCAAGTAAAGCTGAGAGGGGCAGGGGTGGGGTGGGGTGGGGGGTGGGGGCGGGTAGTACTGCATGACACACGGAAGGTCCCAATGCCAGTAAGATGAATGAAGAGGTGTTGGAGAGGTAGGAAAGATGGAGGAACAAAGTGGGTTTTTGTTTGGTTGGTTTGGTTTTAATTAATTTTTTTTTTAGTTTTCTTGGGGAGGGACACTACAGGGTTGAAGGGTAGATATGGAGGGACTGGGAAATGAGTGGGATTGGAGTGCATGATGAGAAATTTCCAAAGAATCAATAAAAATTTATATTTAAAAAAAAAGGAAAAAAGTATCCCTATACCCACAGATGAATGTCGTTCTCACCCCCCATTGAAGAAACCTCTCTGTGCAACAGAGACCATTACAGAAAACAACAACCAATAAAACTGCAGAGTTACGGAGGTCATTCCCAACATCTCCAACACAAGTCCTGTACCTGAGACTCAGGGACCATTGAGGAAGTAGGGACGGAAAGATTGTAGGAGTCGAAGGATCCAGGAGTTTGCTGTGAGATTGTCTCCTAAAAGTATCAGAAGCTACGCTCATGAAATCTCATCAGTGTGACTGACTAGACCTGGACAAGAGTGACACTAATGTACATGCTAATGTGGACGGAAGTCAGCTTGTAAGGCACCAACATTAGACAAAGACCTACAGGCAGCTAAGGAATGCTGGGAATGGGAGAAAGAGTCTTCCCCAGGGATGAGCACACCAACTGGTTATCTGATACCAAATGGTCAGCCCCGGAAACATACACATACAAGTAACACTATGCAGACTGAGCAGGTTGTATTTATATATTTAGAGAAACACACAGCAACAACAACACTTAAAGCACTTAAGAAAAAGAGGTCATGAATTTCAAAAAGAACAAGAAGGTGGGGCACATGGGAGGGTTTGGAGGAAGGAACATGAAGGGGGAAATTTCAAAATTATAATCTCAAAAATAAATCAATCTAAAAATTTAAAACTAAAAAAAAATTGCATAAGATTGCAAATGGGATTAGCCTTGGCTAAGGGATGAGAAATGTCATGCTATTCTTCTCACTTCTGGAGTTGGAGTCTTTGAGAAAAGCATGCATTTGTGTCATGACCCTTCTCTTCTTGCTTGGCCCAGCAGACCTCAGTGTGTAGCCGTGTGTCAGACCCACAGCGCTTGGGCAGGTCTCTGTAGCGATTGGACATCTTTGACTACAGTAAGCAGGGACTGGCTTCCAGATAAACAAAAGTACATGAATTAAAAAGGGATAGCAGAATCAGTGGGCGCAAAGCAGAGTTGACCAGCTCCAGTGGTTAATTAGGAACTTAGAATTCTCTTTAACCAAGACCTACCTGTCAATGGGATGTGCGGATTCCAAGGACACTCAGTCTCCTTTCTCCTTAGTTACAATTCCTGTTGCAGGCAGGGAGCTTGGGCTTGGTCCCATTGGTGTCAAATCACACCTTTAGCTAACTAAGGTCAGCGTAGTTGATTGTAGTCCCACTTGGCCACTCTCAGTAGGGATGAAATAATTGGCTTAATAAGCTGCTGTTAAGAAAAGTGAAAAGATTGTAGGCAACTAAAATAAATAAAAATCCAGTCACAGGTTTGGAGAGAGAGCTCTGCAGTTAAAACTCCTGGCTACTCCCAGGTTCAGTTCCCAGCACCCACACGGTGGCTCACAACTGTCTATCACTCCAGTCCCAGGAGATCTGACACCTTCTTCTGGTCTCTGCAGGTACCATGCATGCATGTGGTACACATACATGCATGTAGGCAAAATACACTTAAAAGAAATCTAAAAAAAAAAATTATTTTAAAAACCCCAGTCACATTGCACCTCAGTGATCTCAGTGTAACAGATCAGATCCATCCTCCAAACAAATCAGATCAATCCTCCAGAAAATGATCCTACCCTTCACTGCTAGTACTGCCAGTCAGTTATGACTCCATGTGAACTAAGGCTATGCTTTTGTTCTAGAAAATTAATACAAGAATTTTGTTGCTGGACACTACCCACATTGAGCATACTGTGAACATAAAAAGTACATATTCAACTAGTCTTCACTGGGAACGGAAACTGTAACTGCCATGTGCCTCTCTACCTGTAGTTTATCATAGCTCTTAACTAGGATGAGAAGAAGTGAAATGGATAACAGTGATGAGAGGGACCCCGCCTCTAGGACCTCCTGTGTGGCGGACATCAGACTGGACACTTTACCTCCATCCCTTTTCAACCTACCCCCTCCTATGTGAAAAAGCACAATCATTCTGTCTCATAGTTGCCACTGACAGACAGGTCTGCTTTTCCTTCCTAGATATCTCTAAGGATTATCTCCGTCAAAAAGCAGTGGATACCGCAGGTCCAGCTGAAAACAGTAAAGACGCTCTGCCAGCAAGGGCTTCAGTAGAACAAACATGGCAGAGAAAAATGCCTTGAGCTTTCTTGAGGGCTAACTCATGCCAGCCTGCAATGTTTCCTCTAGCTTCTAGGCTGAAATATTTCACTTTTTAAATAACCCTTGAAGGCCCCATTCAAAAGAGAAAAGTCAAACCATCTTGCAGAAATGGATCACAGGCAGGCCCGAGGCCACGATCTTAATGGGGAAAAGATAACCTGAAGAATTGACCGTTGCAGTGAACATTCTGGAATAATCTGAGGTTGCTTTGGCTGTTTATCTGCACCTGGTAGGTAGGCAAGTACATAGCCTGAGTTTTTATAACTGCCTAGAGAGAGCCAGACAGTATAAAACTCCTTGCAAGAATGACAGGGAAATGTTTTGTAGCTTGGAGAGTGCTCACTGTGTGCAGGTGTGGAAGGAGGGGAAACAGTCATCGGGATGTATTATGTAAAAAATATGTTTTCAATAAAAGGAAAAAACAAACAAAAACAAAAGTTCAGGCAGAGTTGTGATGCTTTATTTTTCTTTAGAAGAAGCCGGTTGAATTTGAAACTGGCCATGTTTACATATTAAATGGCAACCTCTTTGACTTTTAAGTACCTTTCTGCTTTGGCTTTTCATCTTTTAAAAATGGGGCTGGGGAGACGGCCACCTGATGAACTGCTTGGCGGCGGGTAAGCATAAGCATGAGGACCCAAGTTCAAGCCTCCAGAAGCTACAAAGACAGTTAGCCACAGCAGCGGGTGCCCATGATCCCAGTGCAGAGAAAATGAAGCCAAATGGATCACAGGTGCTCCATGGCCAGCCAGCCTAGTTGAATGGGAGGTCTTCAAGTTCAGAGAGGCACCAAAAAAATGAAAAGCAATTAAGAAAGACTCCAGAATTGACCTCTGGCCTCCAAGTGCATGCACACATGTGAACATACATACAAATCTGTAAATACACATAGAAATAAAAATAAAATAGAAAAATTTAAGTGCTAACTGTAAAAAAAAATCCCAATAAATCAAACTAAAGAAACCAAGGAAGAAAGCTAGACAGAGGAAGAAGATGACGATTTCTAGTTGGAATACATTGAGCATAGATGCCTGTGGGACATGCAAGGAGAGATAGAGATGCCTTCCAACAGCTGATGGTAGAAACAGAAAAAGAGTTTGAATGCATAGACTTGGAACTCACCAAGAGAGTACTTTAACCCAGAGATATAGTTATCAAAGCCATCCATACGCAGATAGAGATAGATGCCAGGGGCTGGAGCATACCTCCTATCATGACTCAGCTGGAAGGAGGTGGTAAAGCCACCTTCTACAGAAAGAGCCATCAGGAACCATTCTCCTGAGTGAGGGCCATGAGCAGACAGTATTTCCTAGCTATCCACCACAATAGGCAAGGGGGTTAGCATGGTTATTGATTCCTACTGTGGGCTACAGTCCTAGCTCATCCTACTTGCCAATCACTTCACACTCTAATGCCACAAAATTTATTTCATGTACACCTCTGTTATGAAAGCCAGGCCCCTTGCTGTCCTTCTGGATCTTCGTATATTCTGTTCTTCCTGCAGATTCTGCATCTTTCCTTAAAAGGATACAGTTCAAATATTGCTGACACAGAAGGGCCATTTTTTGCCATGATTGCCTGAAGCAGAGTGAAATCCAGGAAACTACTGGAGAACTATCACAGACCATGATATCACAGCCTGATGAAGGAATAGAGGAACCCTAAAGTCCCTGGAGTGGCTGAACCCTTCCCCACTCCCACTGTGCACAAATTCAAGAGAAGACATGTTGGGATGAAAGATAGGACAAAGAGAAGAGCCCTGAGAGAAGAGGTCCTTCAACACACCAGAAATGGCCCAATGCTGTGGCAACCCCAACCCAACCCGACCAGGTAGCCAGAGACCCTGCAAATGAACTCAGACCAGCAGACTCTGTGGCCTAACCTGGCCAGGAAAAAAAACCACAAAACCGTGTTTGTAGTACATCTTAATCGCTAGGTCACTGATGGTGTGTAACGTCACGTTATCTTCACTGCATTGTTAAAAATATTTCTCTGAACCCACATCTCTACCAGAAGTGAGAAAAAAAACTCTCATCTGAGAAGGCCTGTGTTTTACACCGTTTTCATTATTTTATTTGAGTTCACTTGGACTCACCCTAGCTGACTGGCACCTCTTAATCTGCACTCTGTGGCCTGTGGCTTAATGATACTTCCAACTGCAAAATCTTAGATACTGTGGAATGAACTCGAAGTTTCAGAGTGCTGTGAACTTTGGCAACTTACTTTATTTGAAATAATACATACCACCCATTTACCATCCAATTTACAACAATGGCAAGGTGTTTGGCCACCAAGGTCAGTGTTACATAAGCATAATTAAGAGTATTGCACATGAAGTTACAAGAATATTCTGAAGTCAACCCATAAGAGACAGATTTCAGTAACTGCTAAAATGTTCACTGCACACACACACACACACACACACACACACACACACACACACGTACATGCACACGCACACGTATACGTCTTGCCTGCATGTGTGTGTGTTATGGGATTTTGTCATTGCTGGTCTCATGGAGCATGCTCAACTCATCCTGAGTGACCACACTCCTGACAATGCGGCACTCATTCTGTAATTATATCTCGGGGGACAGAGTGAGAAATCAGGCCACGGAAACTCTTAAGAACCATTCTCTTTGTGGTTCTGACATCACTGCCTCTCCCCACAGTGCTGGAACACACCACCTAACAGCATCAGCAAGAATGGCATCCAAGGTGCAATCGCATGGAGGGCAAAATCCTTGTTCTTCCAGAGATCTAAGTTCCATGAATGACAAACGCAAGTGTTCTGTTCTTTGGAGAGAAAGAAGGTGCTGGGGTGATAACCAAAAGGACTTCACTAAGAACAACTCCAGTAGGTTTACTATGATCTTCTTCCAAGGGTGAGCAGCTGGCAGAGTGAGGTGGAGAATGAAGCTGTGTGGTTTCATTAAAGAGAGGCTGGGACAGCATTTCCCACGGAAGATATAGCCATGCAACAACTACAAACCATGTTGAGCTGACATGGTTCAGGCCCCTATATTCCTGATGCATGTATAGCAACAGTCTATAGACATAGAAAACGGTACAGGATCTTAAGGGAATGTGAATTCATGGAACAAATGCTGGCAGGTAACAAACTACCATTCTGGAACTTCAAGTTCATGAGAGTAGTATTTCTCTGACTCTAAATTTTGTGGGGTTTTTTTAAATAATACTTGTCAAGCAATTATAAAATAAAAAAAAATCAGGTCACCTACTAAAAGTGAGCAATTATGAATAATCAAAATTCCCCCCACAGGATCCAAAAAACAAAGTAAAAAAAAATTGGATCGTAAATATTTGACAAGTTCCATTGTTTCCTTATGCTTACTGAGAAAAACAACAGGTATTTGCCTTAGGAAGGGAAAAGCCAACACTGAGTCTCAAATTCTTTTGTTTTTTTGAATATTATTTTACAGTTATAGCAGTCTACTTCTGAAGATTTCCAAACACTGTACAGACAATTATGATCTCCATGGTACTGTGCTCCCAAGGGAAGGGGGCTTTGAGAACATAAAGCGCAGGCAGGTTGACATTGAGAAGCAACACTGGATACAGAGAAAACCATGTCTCAGTTTCTGTTTTGACTTTCTCATGTATAGGAAATGTGGATATTATTTCTACATTCTTCTCAAACACATGCCTCGGAGAATTCCCAGCTAGAAATGAAAAGCCTCTTGACTAGAACTAAAGATAGAATGATGCACAAATGTCTGAATATTGCAAGGACTGTGCCCTGATCGTTGTTGTGCCCGCAGACCCCACTCTAATGCCTAGCTCAGGATAGATATTCAGCAAACACTTTTTAAAATTATGTGTATGTACACCCACATACACGCCTGTGGTGTGTGTTGGTGATGTGTGACATAGCACACATGGGTGGTCAAAGACAACTTTGTAGAGTCAATTCTCACCTTCTATCTTTACATCGGTCCCAGGGATGGAATTCAGGTTGCCAGGTTTGTGGGGCAAGAACCTTTACTTAGTACGTCATTCTGTTGGCCTTCAGGACATACTTCTTTAAATTAATTAATCCAATTAAACATCCACCAGAGAC